CACCCACATGACAGCTCACAACTGTCTATAACTCTAGGGTGTAACACCCTCACACAAAATATACATGCAGGCAAAACACTGATACAAATAATAAATCACTTAAAAGCATTAAACTTGATTTTAAAAAGGTGAATCTTGTCCACTGCAAGCAAATCTGAAGAAGTTTTAGAGGAAAGCAGATACACAACGCACCCAGACAGAACTAACTTCAGATTCGGGCTTCATCATTCACTAAAGGACTTGTTTAAGTCAGGGAAACTAAACGTCCTCTCTCAGCTTCAGTCTCTAACATTAACATAATAGTGCCTGTTTCATTGGGTAGCAGAAATTAAATGCTGCGTGCTTGGCATTAGAAGCAAATCCATGCGCTGTATATCATCCCATTCCCATAACAAAGGTGCCTTTTATAGAGTTCCAAGGTCATCTCAAGAGAAGAGTAATAATCGCCTTGGACATGAATAATTGATACTCTTCCCTAATAAACATAGCTATTTCCCGCTAAGAGCTTTAAATCTTTCTTCATTTAATCCTCACAATAAGGCTATAATCATGTTAAGTCGGAAGTCACTATCAGGTGATGACACTGGAGCCCACTGCAGTCCTCATGCCCCACAGCCAAAAACAAACCACTAAACAGAATGGTCAGCACCTGCAACCATGCAGCCTGACTCCACAGCCACGCATGTCTAGGTCCTCTACCCTCCGTATCTACCCCGACTAATATCTACCCCACACAATGGCGAAGATATATCAATGAAGAACCTACACCCTTTAGAAGTAATTCTCATGTAACCACAGGTTTAGACTGAGTTCTGCTTGCAAAGTTGCCTGTAAAAACCTGTCCGGGGATCCGCCTACACACTACACTAATTAATGTACTTTCATAAAAACCACGGAACAGATCTTGATCTACACAGATGAAAGGTACCTCTGACAGCACTGTCCCCACCAAACGACCATTGTACTAGGCTGCATCATTTCTCAGCTAATACCTTACATGGAAGGGAAATTTTAATATTTCAAATTCTGTATTTTAAATACTAAACCCTTGCTCACAGAGTCCAGAAGAGGGTGTGAGGTGCCCTGGAACTAGAATTACAGACAATTATGAGCTACCCAATGTGGGCGGTACTGGGTACAGAACTCAGGTCCTCTGCAAAAGCAGCAAGTGCTTTTAACTGCTGAGCCATCTCTCCAGCCCCAGAGGTTTCCTTAGTAAACATAAATAAATAAATAAACAGAGTCTATTAACTTACCAAGAGCTTAATACAAAATCAAAAACCAAGTTATCAGAGGACATAGATGTGGAGACTATTACATCTCATTATCTCAAAGGGAAGGCAAAGAACCAAGCAACACAAAATATAAACAATGTAGAGGTGGTATCACACCTTTAATCCCAGCACTCAGGAAGCAGAGGCAGGAGGATCTCCACGAGTTCAAGACCAGCCTGGTCTACATGTTGAGCTCCAGGCCAGCCAAGGATCCATAGTGAGACCCTGTCTCAAAGAGACCAAATAACTAAGCAAACAGTGCCTCCAGATAGGGAGGGACTCACTAGAGATGCCCGGGCAGGCATCATCAATTGACATCTCCAGTTCAGGCCTTTTTCTTAAACCAGGTGTATATGGAACCAGTGGCAATGAATTCTTTGACTAAGAGAAAGGTTGCTTTTTGTTATTTGAAGTAAATTTTGTTTGGGGAAAAAAAAAAACAGTGAAAGCTCCCAAACAAACTGTTCAGATTGGAGAAGGGAAAAAGAAATGTAGGTTGATTTCAAGGACATCACAAGAGGAAAGAGGAAGGCTCACTAGAGGCGCCTGGCTTCTCTCCTCTGGCAAACACAACCAGCTGAGGTTCCTTTATCTTTTGTTAATTATGTTTGTGGAACCACCTCTTGCATAAGAGGGAAAGTGAGATTATGAACCCAGCTGTATTCGCTGCAGAGATGAGGGTGATAAAGGCAAGGAACTGGATCATGTACCGAAAAGGCAGAACCCCACACAGCTTAGAAGGAACATTTTCCCAAAAGACCGCTGTTCACACATGTTATCAGACCATCCCCATAAACGTCAAACAAACACATCATCCCGTGACAAAGAGCCATACTCCTCTGCCTGTATTAGGGTATGTTCTTGTTATAGGGCTTGATGACGCATGCCCAGAAGTCTAACACTTGGAAAGCTGAAGCAGGAGGATCAGAAGTTCAATGCTAACCTCAGCTATATAATGAGTTCAAGGCCAGCCCGGGATAGATGGGACCTGTCTCAAAACAAACACACAAATTAATTAACATAAAACCCACCAAAAAAAATAAATAAAGGTAATCCCATTGTGCAATCTATCTGCTAATAATAGTAACGATAGTATTTCTGATGCAAATTAATCTATTCTTGTACTGTGGCCCACAGCCCTGGCCCAGGGAGTTTCCTAACCACTCGAAACATCGCTCTCCTTAGCTCTGCTGGAGCATAGCTCTCTACTAAAACCTTTCCGTGAGGAAACTGCTGAGCTAATTAGACTGAAAATGACCTTGCTTGGATTGTGTGATGGGAAAAAATAAAATACCGATTCTATAACGATTCAGGCCCTGCAGAAGTCCTCGTCCGTCTGCATGCTATCTCAACTGCTGCAGGCAGATAATGCAAAGGATGTGAGAAGGAGGCAGGAATGTCTTCATCCTTAAGCCCTGCCTTTACAGGAAGCATCTGCTCTGAGAACAATTGCCAGCTTCCCACCGCAGAGTGGGACTCTCCTTTCAAAGAGGGAGAGTGCCTCTAACAATGTGAGTTTCAATGGCCTCATAACCCAGCAAAAGCAAGGGGGGAAGCATTTGCACACTTTCCTTTTTAAAGATCCATTCTGGTCTAGGGTCATTCATTCTAACCTTGAACATATGAGGAATGCTCCCCAAAAATAACAATAATAATTAAAATACAAACCAAGGAATAATATAAATCCCTAGTGTAGTTGCTATTTGTTAAAAAAGGAGATAGTAATAAAGAAAAGTGTGGGAAAAAACAGGATTCTAAACTAAGAGTAGGAGAGACAGCTCAGCCGTTAAGAGAACTGGCTGCTCTTCCAGAGGACCTGGGTTCAATTCCCAGCACCCACATGGTGGCTCATACCTGTCTATAACACTTCTAGGAGATCTGATGCCCCCTTCTGGCCCCCTCAGGCACTGCATATACATAGTGCACATACCAGCAAACATACAAGCAAACACTTAATACACAAAATAAAATATAGCTAAATCTAAAAACTGAAATAAGAGCGTGTAAATGTCCAAGCATAGCTCAAATATTTGTCAAAACCATTCACGTTCTTCTGGTCCTATACATTCCAGAGAAACTGCCCTCAAAATCATAAATTCTTAATGAATAAATACTGATGGTGAAACTACTTAGGAATTATCTCCTTTGGTTTGATACTACTACCATAACCAAAGGTTTGTTCGTTTTCAGAAATGATAAGTCCAAGAGTAGAAACTAAGATCTGTCCCCACGTATGAAGGGACACGCTTTCTCTGTCTGCTTCTGTAGGGCTATTACTACTAACGCCAGGAGCTATTGTGCACCAAAAGCCTAGCAGGACCACATACAAAAAGATTTTAACTTGGTAACTGTACAAGACGCCGGTTGCATTACCTCTGTTGGCGGATGAGGAATCTGCTGCTCAGCCGTGAAGTGACCTTAGCATCATTAAAACCACAGCAGTTCTAAGAGCCAGGGTCAGCAGCAAGCTCCAGGCCTGCCACAGACCCTTTCTCAAAACAAGGTGGACAGCTCCTTAGCCATGACACATGGGTTGTCCTCTGGCCTCCACATGTTCATGCACACGTGTGAACTCACACACACATATGAAACAGTCCAGCCCCAGCACAGAGAACCCTCTTCCAAATTCCCAGCTTCAGTTCCCCTATTCAGCCTATCACTTTCTGTAGAGAGAGAGTCACAGACACGCAAACTTGTCTCTCACGTGGTGATGTCTTCCTATATTGGTAAAGAATACATCTTTATATAAAGAACTATGTGGAATCCCATCTACCCTGCATTATATATTCTTACATGATTTAAAAATAAACAAATAACTCCACAATAGAGGAACTTACACCTCAGTTTCTGATATACCTACACTTTTAGTTAACAGTGTTTATATGTGGGTACCCGAGTATGGCTTATTAGAGCTCATTACCGTTACTGACAATGCTTTATGAATTTGCACTCACTGGGCACATAGTGCTCTTGCAACCAGGAAAAATATAATAAATACCCATTTTAAGGGAAGAAGGATGTTTTGTATGTTAATTAATAATCCCTAGATTTAATTTCCCCTTAATCCTGGGAGAAAAAAAAAAAGACACTCCTGGGCCCATTATAATCCTGAACCAGATATGAATTCAAATCTGACACAAAAATGTTGGCTCTTTTTATAAATAGTTGATACTTTTTTACATGGCCCCCTTCCCCTTCCCACACACTCACATCATTTTTAAGTTATTGGGGGTTCTTTGCTCAATAAAACTGGGTCTACCATTCCAAAAACGGGACTGTGATGTCCTTCTTTTCCTTCCCACTGGCCTGTTTAGTAAAATCCACCTCACCCACTAAGCTTGACATTCCGTGAGACGAGCGTTTAGCTCTGCCCATGGCTCTTGCGGCAAACTCTTGCCTACATTTCCCAGGCTCCTTGCAGTCTGTCTGTCCACGAGCAGCAGTGGCAAGTTTTCAGGCCTGGCCCACAAACACCTTCCACGTGGAAAACTTCGGACGCTCTTTCTGAAGTCTCGGGAGAGATGTGACACAGCCACCCGTGGGAAGAACCCGGGTCTTTGTCCAATTGGTAGCACGAACACTCAGGGACAATTCAGACTTCGCGGGTTCGGGAATCAGAGGAGCACTCTGGAGGTCACTGAAAACCTGAGTTCTGCTACACTGCCTAACCCGCGGCTCTATTACCATAGTCCAACTACGGCTGCAAGACTGCGCAGTGCATCTTACCTCTTTCAAAGACTCCTTCTGCTTCCAGGACGGTGACCGTGGTGTTGAAAGCCTTCTTTAACACCTGAGCCTTTACAGTGGCCTGTAGGGGACCATTTTCCAGAAGCTCCACGCCAACTGTCACATTTGCTCCAGGCCTGATGGTCCCTGGGGCTGTCACCAGAAAGCGAGACCTAAAGAGTTATCAACCAAAGGAAATCAAAGCTTTTTAAATTATTAAACCTATTCATTTATTTTACAGCCCGACCACAGTTTCCGGTCCCTCCTCTCCTCCCGCACACCTCCAGTGTGTCCACTCCCTGGAAAGAGAGGTCTCCACACTACTCCTCTACAGTAAGTACAATTGAAACGGTGCCACTGCCCTTTAGTAATGCCAGGAAAAGCTACAAAAAACGTAATTCCTCAAACGGTTCAAATGCACAGGAGCCAAAGGAGAAGACAAAGCACGCAGAAGCCACTGCAGAATTCAAGTCTCCAAGTCTCCTCAGAAATGACTTCATCTTCACGTTATTAGGAAACACACACACCTGGGCATTTGCATTTTTACTGCTCAAATCGCGCTTGCCTAATCTACCCGAGAGAGGGGGAATGATTGAAATCACTATCTGAAACTAATGCCAGCAATGCAACCTCCAGGTCAGGAAGCATCTAAGTCCCCCAAAGAGACCCGGTGTGGTTATGCACACCTGCCCTTCTAACACCCTGACACTCACGGGGCTACTGAGGCAGAACTGCCCAGGGTCCCTAGACCAGCCTGTGTTACAAATGAGCCCCAGGGATAATAATTAATAATAATAATAAATAGTAATTTTCTTCTCTGAAGGTAAAAAAAACTTGAGAAATGGAGTACTTTATACTATCGAATTCTTGTTAATCATCCTATAATCTCTGATATGGCACTCTCTGGTCACCTCAGTCACACTGACAGTGTCAAAGTAGAAACATCCTGTTTAGAAAAGAAAAAGAAAAAAAAAGGTCTCTGGGGAAAAAAGAGAGACACATTATTTAGGAGCAACAAGTTGAGAGGCAAAAGGCAGAGCAACGTGGGCTAGAGCTAGGACGACTTTCTTCGGCAAGTTGTCGCAGCAGACGGACAGTTAAGAAAGCACCCTGGTGGGTCCCGCAGGCCGCGCGCTCCCACGTCCCCTGCGCCCGCGCCCTCCGGCCCGCGCTCCTACCCCGGGGCGGCCAGTGCGGTCGCGCACACGCAGAGAAAGTGGGCAGCGCTTAGGAGGCTCCGGCAGCGCATCTCGGCTTCTGCCCGCGGGGTCTGCAGCCCACCAAGTGTGAGCGCTGCGGGGTGTGGCTGGCCACCTCCTGCCTGCCTTTCTCCCCCACTGCGCACCAGGGTTTAGCAATCTGAAACGGGCGCGCCTAAAAGCAGAGAGATCTAAATTGAGACTTGATGGCTCCACCCATCCCGCGGCTTCACAATGGCGCTTCTGGCTTCTCCCGGGCTAACGCTGCCGGTCCGTGGCTGAAAAAAGCGGTCTCTGCACGCGGTGGCCACAACCTGGCCCCACCTTCCCTGCTCCCCTGGGAAAACAGAGGGCGCCCACTTCCTTGGCCACCGGGAACCAGGGACTTGTTTACTCTAGCGCTCTACCGCCGATGCCCGGAGTGAATAAACAGGCCCATCCTTGTAAGCAGCAATCCAAAGCAGCTATGTGAAGTGGAAAAAAATCAATCATTGTCCCCCAGACGATGAGTCAGAAGTTTAGGGAAATGGCAAGCGCGCGCGTGCCTGGACACACACACATACACACACACACACACACACACACACACACACACACACACACCGGCGGGTATATATTGGTAGTTACTTATATGTATAAGAACAGAGTAAAAGTTTTTTCTTAAGATAAAAATTAAGGTATACTTTTCTTGCTAAGAATATGTTATGGCTTCTCTGAGTTAAAAGAGGGCGCCTAGCCTTGAGTGTAACCCCAGCACCTAGTATTTATTTAAATAAATAAATAAAAATAAAAAACATAGTGGGGGGAACATTTAGGTGATGCCACTTGAAACTCAGAAGCAGCTGCTTAGGAAGATGCTTGTGTATTTTGTTGCTGTTGAGAAACACGTTTTCTACGGAAAGTCCTCACTAGAATCCTGAGTTTGTAACAACTTGTCAGCATACAGTTGGGATCTGGCCAGAAGGGCTGTGCTGAGAATGAAGGCGTGCAGGGGCGCCGGTCCCCCAGTAGTTACTGATCTCAGCCCAGGTTCTCTGACGCTGCTTCCCTGACACCCTATTTGGCACCATCCCTGTCTTCAGATGACTCAGGTTTCACCATGGCTACCCCATAAAAGCGGGCAACTGCCAAAGACTAGGAAAACAGGCACACGCAGTGCCTGACGACTTAAACTCTCTCATTCCAAAAAGGAACTTTAGAGGGTGACAGTTGCGTTTGGGTCAAAATGAAACCAGAGAAACTTCGACCAGAGCATGTGGCCACAGCTGTGTCCTAAAAGAAGGGAAGTGGCACCTGGACCGAGTGAGGGTTTGGAAACGCACGAACTCTTTTCCTCCCTTTCCTGTCCCGCCCTTGTTTGCCCTGCTGAATGTCTGAAGATGTTCCTGGTGCCCTGTCCTAAGAGCAGCCTATTGTTAGCGGTCGTCGCCCTGTGCAAGCAGGACTTGGGTACGGTGAGGAATGTCTGACTGTGCCCTGGGGTGCAGCTGGCTCTTGGCACAGCTGCTACTGCTGGACTGGTCTCCTCAGCTCCCTAGTACAGGGAGGAGGAGCAGGTTCAAGTGTGTACAAACAGCCAAGTTCTAAACCTGTATTTATCACACTCAAGTGTATGTGAGAATCACATCAAGATGTGGAAGTCGATTCAGCAGGTCCTAGGTAGGAACTGCGATTTATCTTTCCGTCCACAGTGGTCCACAGAGAGATTCCAGAAGGGGCAACTAGGGGCACCGTGATGAGCAAAAGAAGCCGGAGTAACTCAATTACTTCCCAAATTTGATTTCGTAGTCGTGGACAAAAAATGCAACCAGGGACTCCAGACTATAAGTGGATAATGTTGCATTCCAAGATTAATAGAACCAAAGGTTATTTCCAACTGGGCAGACTTAAGTTGCTATAAGTTCCAGGCTTTGGTCTTCATCCTCGCAATACACATTTGGTGACAGACTTAGACACATAGAAATGGAGGCATCAGGGCTGGAGAGACTGCCTGCTCCTCCAAAGGTCCTGAGTTCAATTCCCAGCAACCACATGGTGGCTCACAACCATCTGTAACAAGATCTGGTACCCTCTTCTGGCCTGCAGGCATACATGCAGACAGAATATTGTATACATAATAAATAAATATTTTTTAAAAAATCTTTAAAAAAGAAATTAAGGCATCAACTCTTTTTTTAATGAGTGCTCATTTTTTTAAAGCGGTATTCTTTTTTAAAAAAAGAAAACGGAAAAAGATTAGGAAAAGTTTCAGAAATTCAAAAACTTGGTGATAAAAAGCTGAAAAGTGAAAAAATAAAAATGTTAACAGTTGCCAGAGCACCTACAGTCCAGCACATGAGAAGAAGAAGCCCCATCCCAAAGGCAACCAGCACAGCCCTGGTGAAAAGACTGGAGCCCCTAACCAAGAGAAGCTCACCTCAAAACCAGCTGCGGGTTTCAGGGAGACATTGTTCCCCAAGTAGTTGGGTCAGGAGAACAGAGGAAACTGCCCTGAACGACTGTAGACCCTAGGACTGAAGAGCATCCCTCCAGCATGGGGATTAGCCCTTGGAAGGTCTTGAGAGCATTGGGACAGGCCCTCCACCTGCACCAAACTCAGTGCTGTGTGGGTCAGTCCCACAGTGTGAACATACTTGGGAGACAAGTCCCAGTCACAACATCAGCCACCCAAGGTGTAGAGTTAGAGGATGAGAGACCCTGCAGGGCGCACAGACTGGAACGCTAAAGAGGCCCTGATTCATAGAAGGGAAACCATGAAAGTGAACACAGCTCTGACCGACATTGGGCGTGTGTCCAACACAGATCTCACGGCAGCATACGCCATAGGAGAGGCGTGGCCACAGGTTCACCCATCCTCCCCCACCCAGAGCACATAACAGTCTCCGTGTTCTGAGGACCAGGAGCCATCCGTCTGGTCCAGGGTTTTCCCCATTTACTGCCTCTTGGCATGGTTCTCACTTGACTACATTTTAAAAACCACATGTTGGGCTTTTTTAATCCTCGTCGTATATTTATATATGATGTGTATGCACATATTTTCATGACTGGAAAATCTGTTTTCTTTCTTTTCTTTCTTCCTGTGTCTGCTTCGCACTCTTTCCTCCTCTACCGTTTTTTCACTCACATTTTGACTCTGTCTTACTCTTTTAAAAATCCCTCTCAGCTGGGTAGAGCGGAGCACATCTTTCATCCCAGCACTTGGGAGGCAGAGGCAGGGGCATCTCTGGGTTTGAGGTAAGACTGGTTACAGAGAGAGTTCTAGAACAGCCAGACTACATTTAAAAAAAAAAAAAAAAAAACCTGTCTCAAAAAAAAATTCTTCTCATTTCTATATTTTATTTCCCTTACATTTATTCAATTTGTCTTTCAAACTCCTGGGAAACTATGAGGTTTCCTTTTTCTTTTCTGTCTTTGTTAAAGACAGAAAATGTCTTCTTCTACATTCCTCCTGCTCTTTCACATTTCGTTGATTTAACCTCTCCTCGCCTCCATTTCCTCCTCCCCTTACCTCCCTATATGTCATTCATTAATAATTTCCACATTTTCCCTAAATAATTTTTTCTTTTTTTTTTCTTTTGGAAGGATTTTACTCATATTCATTGGATCTCAGCTGAAAATTTTTCTTTGATTCAGATAGTAGCATTACAATCACAGTGCATTCTTTGCAACCAAATGATTTAAAAATGAAAAAGGTCTTCCCCGCCTTACACATAAGTAAGTTCTCAGTACCTCCTGAAAGTCATCCATGCCCGGAAGGACACTAGGCCCCTTAGTGACTCTTGCCCCATGGTGTCCTTTTCTTTTGATTTTCTTCAGCAAAATATGTCCATGACTAGTATGAAAACTTTTAATTTGATATTCAGTACCTGGCAGGCTTCCTTTAGTCCTCTCTTTTTTCTCTGATTCTTTAGAAAATGATGACCCCAAAGATTCCTGAGATTGTCTATAGTATTTCAGGTGACTGGAAAAGTCTTCTTCTCCCTCGTGGTTGTAGCTACCAAAGTTGTCATCTCTGTAGAAAATAGATGCAGCATATTCTTTACTATTGAATTTTTTGTTATGTTGTCTCTTCTTTTATGTCATGTAACTTCCTCATATATGTCCATGATGCTTCTAGCGTTCAGCTTGTTCTTTTTTTTTTTTGTCTTTTTTCCCTAAATAATTCTTAACTTTGTGACACATTCTTTGTTTATTTTGTAATTTTATTTTTACTTCATGAACATTGGTGATATATTAGCGGTTTTAACTAACTTTAAGTATATATCTGTATGTTATATCTTGGACAGTTTCATGCTGTTGATGTTACAGCAATTTGATTTCTCCTTTCTGAGTTGTACTGGGGAATTGAACTGTCTAAAATGGGCTGTTCAATAAGACTTGAAATATAAACCCAGGAGAGCTCTAAACCAACAGGCGTCCAAATCACAGTGCAGGAACACAAGGAACATGGAAGAGCAAAGCAACATGACTCCTCCAAAGATACTACAATTGATAGAATAATGGAAGACAATGTCAAAAGCTGACTAATAAAAAAAAATTCACTTGGGATTTGAAAGTTTGAATGAAAATGTCCCTCACAGCCTCAGGTACTTAAACAGGCCCCTAGTTGGTGGTGGTGTTTGGAGAGGTGGTGCAGAAGCTTGCGGGAGTGCAGGTTTCAAGGGTTCACAGCCTCAGTCCCCTTCCAGGTCACCCTCTGCTTCATGTTTATGGTTGAAGAGGTGATTTCTCGGCTTGCTCCTGCAATCCTACCCACCACTTGCTGCCAGGCTGCCCCACCATGGTGGACTTTATCTATCTGGAACCATAAGCCAAAATAAACTCTTTCAAAGTCACTTTGGTCAGGGTGTTTTATGACAACAGAAGAGTAACTAAACGTGGGGTCGTTGAGATGGTTCAGCAGGGAAAGGCACCTTCTGCCAAGCCTGAGTTTAATTCATGGTACTCACTTGGTAGAAAAAGAGAACTGACTCCCTCGGGCTGTCCTCTGACCTCTGTATGTGCGTCATGCTGCCTGTACATGTGTGTGCATACACCCATGATAAATAAATATAATTTTGTAAACGGTTTTTTTTAAAAAATGCTTCAAAGAGGATAAACAAGCAAATGAATCAAGTTAAAGAATTGAAAGTAAGCAGCAACATAGATGAAAGGTAAAACAGGCAAG